TGGTGGCCAGATTGGGAAGGCGGGATCCAGGCAGAAGTAAAGGAGGTGCCTGGGGTCCGTCAGCAAGCCCTTAGGCTGACAGTGAGCAGAACCCCAGAGGGTAGCTCACCAACCTCCCAAATCTCTGTTCCTTTGAGGACCGTGTACACTGGGCCTGGCACCATCTGGACTTTCTGACTGGAGAGGACATAGCCCAGAACTGTGGCCTCCAGGTTGGCAAACATGCTCCCTCAGAGGCTACATTGCTGGAAAAGTCTGTTTTCTCCCCTCCCATCTGCCCACTCCCCAAACAAATCAAGCAGTTCTACCCAGAAAGCCTTCCTAAGAGCACAAAGGAGGGGCACATGATGAAAGTATACTTAGATGAGCAGGAGCTTGGGCCATGTTGGTTGTTAGGGCTCAAGACACTGCTCTATAATTGCTTGGTTGCTTGTGTGTCTCCCCCCGCCCATGAGTGCAGGGCCCATGTCTGATTGTTCACTGTTGAATCCTGGTGCCTAGCACAGTGCCTGGCACATAGTAGATACTCAATAAATACTGCTTGGATTTGTAGTTTTACTCATAGCCACCCACCCAAACTCAGTTTAGGATCGACAGTGTTGTGTTTCTCCCCAGCCAGTGAGGAGTCCTAAAGGCAGAGCTCCATACCTGAAAATAGCTGGCTCCCTTCCAGACCATAATCATAGCTACCTGCTGACTGCAGCTCCATTCAGCCGGTATCGTCAGGGATTCTGACACCCCCAGACACACATGAGCACAAGCACACACACACACACACACACACACACACAGAAGAGGGAGCACACCTGCATACATACACTCCAATCCCCATTGGCTTCTCTTCCTGAAGATCAGGTGTCCAGCTCGCTTCCAGCATTATGTATCTGCTAGTGGACTTGGCTTGGCTGCCTTTTTTGTAAATCTAGGCCAATCCATCCCAGGTGGTTCCTGATCATTTTTCTTGGAAGCAAGCCCAGAAGCAGAGTCATTCCTTAGGCAATCCTGTGTGAGTAGACAAGCATCATTTATTCCTGGAAGCCTTCCCTGCACACACTTTCCACCCATCAGCTCTTCTTAGTCTTTGGGGAAGTCATGAAGGCAGCCAAAGGGATGGTGTTTCAGCTGAGTCTTGCTGGACTAGCAAAAGTTAGCCAGATATAGGTTATTCCAACCTCAAGGGGAAAGGAGATCATGTATCCCAGTACCTACTGAAGTGCCAGATCCCTGGAATTCTATTGGATGAATGAGTGGATAGATGGATGGATGGATGAATAAATAAGTACATGCATGAGAAAGTCAGACAGTGAACTTGGGGAGTTGTGAATTGTCTGAATGTGAGATGGTGGCATCAGAGTTAAAATTCAGGCTGGAAATTTGGGTTTGGAGACAGATTATGAAAGGCCTTATGTGCTAAGTGAGGGAATTTCAATTTGATCTTGTTGGCAGTAATAGGCCCTCAAAGAGTTTAAAGCAAGAAGATGATAGGATCAACTCTGTCTTTTTATTTATTTATTTATTTTTAGAAACAGGGTCTTGCTCTGCCACCTAGACTAGAGTACAGTGGCCCGATCATAGCTCATTGCAGCCTCAAATTTCTGGGCTCAAGTAATCCTCCTGCCTCAGCTTCCCAAATAGCTAGGACTACAAGTGTGCACCACTACACCTGGATAATTAAAAAAAATTTTTTTTTTTTTTTTAGAGATGAGATCTCACTATGTTGCCTAGGCTGATCTTGAACTTCTGGCCTCAAGTGATTCTCCTGCCTTGGCCTCCCAAAGTGCTGGGATTATAGGCGTGAGCCCCCATGCCTGGCCCACATCTGTCTTTTTATAAGATTACCCAAGGCCAGGTGTGGTGGCTCACGCCTGTAACCCTAACACTCTGGGAGGCCAAGGTGGGAGGATCCGCTCAAGGTCAGGAGTTCAAAACCAGCCTGAGCAAGAGCGAGACCCTCGTCTCTGCTAAAAATACAAAGAAATTAATTGGACAACTAAAAATATATAGAAAAAATTAGCTGAGCAGGTGGTGCATGCCTGTAGTCCCTGCTACCCAGGAGGCTGAGGCAGGAGGATTCCTTGAGCCCAGGAGTTTGAGGTTGTTATGAGCCAGGCTGACGCCACAGCATCTAGCTTGGGCAACAGTGTGAGACTCCATCTCAAAATTAAAAAAAAAAACACCTTTGTCTTTTTTTTTTTTTTTTTGAGACAGTGTCTCGCTTTGTTGCCTAGGCTAGAGTGAGTGCCGTGGCGTCAGCCTAGCTCACAGCAACCTCAAACTCCTGGCTCAAATCCTTCTGCCTCAGCCTCCCAAGTAGCTGGGACTACAGGCATGTGCCACCATGCCGGCTAATTTTTTTATATATATTAGTTGGCCAATTAATTTCTTTCTATTTATAGTAGAGACGGGTCTCATCTTTCAGGCTGGTTTCGAATCCTGACCTTGAGCAATTACCTCCCCCTCCATCCCAGGAGCTAAGATTACAGGCATGAGCCACCGCGCCTGGCCTCACCTTTGTCTTTTTTACCTCCCTGAATACTCACATAGTATACTCTGGCAGGCACATTCCTATCACAACGCTCTATTCCCAAATAAATATCATCTTCCTTTAAAGAGCCTATTTCTATTGGTTTTTTTTAATTTAATTTAATTCATCTTTTATATTTATTTTTATTATTTTCTTTTCTTTGTTCACACATAGATCAGGAACAATATTGTTATTTAGGTTAACATATTAATAATTCCCCATTCTCCCTCCCCTCAGCCCCTGGAAACCATCCTTCTGCTTTCTGTCGCTATGAATTTGACTACTTTAGGTATCTCATGAAAGTGGAATCACATAATATTTGTTCTTTTATGACTGGCTTATTTCACTTAGTATGTTTTCAAGGTTCATCCATATTGTATTAGAATTTTCCAGATGTATTAGAATTTTCTTTCTTTTTTTTTTATTTTTATTTTTTTTTTTATTTTTTGAGACAGAGTCTCACTTTGTTGCCCAGGCTAGAGTGAGTGCCGTGGCGTCAGCCTACCTCACAGCAACCTCTAACTCCTGGGCTCAAGCGATCCTGCTGCCTCAGCCTCCCGAGTAGCTGGGGCGACAGGCATGGACCACCATGCCCAGCTAATTTTTTGTATATATATTTTTAGTTGGTCAATTAATTTCTTTCTATTTTTAGTAGAGACGGGTCTCACTCAGGCTGGTTTTGAACTCCTGACCTCGAGCAATCCAGCCTGCCTTGGCCTCCCAGAGTGCTAGGATTACAGGCATGAGCCACTGCGCCCAGCCTTTCCTTTTTTTTTTAGATGGAGATGGAGTCTGGCTTTTGCTCAGGCTGGTCTCGAACTCCTAACCTCAAGCAATCCTCCCGCCTCAGCCTACCAGAGGGCTAGGATTACAGGCGTGAGCCATCACGCCCAGCCAAGAATTTTTTTCCTTTTTAAAGTTGAATGATATTCCAGTGTGTGTGTATACATTTTGTCTATCCATTCATATGCCAATAGATGTTTGTGCTGCTTCCGCCTGGAAGGTATTGTGGCTATTGTGAATAGTGTTACAGTGTTACTGTTACTGTGATCATTAATGTATAAATATCTGTTCAAGTTCCTGCTTTCAATTCTATTGTGTATATGTGTAGAAGTAGAATTAAACATAAACATGTTTATGTTTAATTTTTTGAAGAAACAGTTAAATTTTTTTTTCTAAATTATAGTCCTGTGATAGTTAAAATTTTTAAAGCTTCTGTTTTAATCAAAGAAAGCTAAGAATCAAAACAGCCAGTTTGATAACCTTAGTCACAGAAAAACACAAAAACCATATCTGATCTTTCTGGTTTTTAATATCGTTTATTCTTCTAGATTTTTTTTTCTTTTCTTTTCTTTTCTTTTTTTTTTTTTGAGACAAGGTCTCGCTCTGTTGCCTGGGCTGGAGTACAGTGGCATCATCATAGCTTGTTGCAGCCTTGAACTCCTAGGCTCAAGTGATCCTCCTGCTTTAGCCTCACAAGTAGCTGGGACTACAGGCAGACACCACCAGGCTAGACTAATTTGTTTTTAATTTTTTTTTTTTTTTTTTTGTGGAAATGGGGTCCCACTGTGTTGCTCAGGCTAGTCTTGAACTCTTGGGCTCAAGCAATCCTCCTTCCTCAGCCTCCCAAAGTGCTGGGATTGTAACCAGCCTAGAGGATTTTCCCCCCTAAAGAAAGAGAATTAAAAAAGGACATACATAATTTTCAGGTTTTAGTTATTTATTTGGATTTTAAAAAATAAAACATTTTTTGATTGTAGTAAAATATACATAACATAAAACCATCTTGACCATTTTTAAGTATATAGTTCATTGGTATTAAGTTAAGGTTTTATTTCTAGGGCTTGTAATCTCATCGAATTCTAATGCCATCAGGTTCTTGTGTATATCCTAAGGCTCAGAGTTCTGGAACTCTCCACCCCCACCTACTCCCTGCCGGGCCGCACCCTGTGTTCCTCCTGGCCCCTTCCTCAAAACCACCAGGACAGAGCAGTCTGAATCAGGCTGCCCTTGTGATCATCTTTTGTAAGACACTAACGTTTCGACATATTTTTGTAGCCTATCATATTAAATAGCTGTCATTTTGCAAAACAATATATTAACACCTATAAAGGGCTGTGTTGTGTGCCCGGCCAGACCAGGTATATATCCATGCTCCCCGCCTCCAACCCACTGTCACATGCTCACACAGACATACGTGGATTGTCTGACTTTGGGCATGTCACCTCCCTTCCTTGAGCTTACTTTTGTCATCTATCGATGTGTGAGTCAAACTAGACAATCTCTGATAGGCTCCTGGACCCCAGACCCTGAGAACACTCCAGCTCACTCTGCCCCAGGCTCCTTCAACCCAACTGAAGGACCAGGAGAGAGGAACAGAGATGGCAGATGTTTGGGGTCTTGGAAACATTCGCCCTGGGGCCTGGGCCCTGGCTGTGGGGTGAGACTGAGGGCCACAGAGTCACAGCCCCTTCCGGCCCGCCTTACCCCAGGAAACGCCTCCTCACCGCAGTGACCACATCCCCTTTGTTGCCTGGAAAACAAATACGCAGGGGGCAGAGGAGTTGGGGTGCAGTTGCCCAGCAACAGGTGGAGCCCTCCCTTCCGCCCTAGTGGAGGCCAGGCCTCTCTGCGCCTTTCAGCTGCCCGCCCTGCGCCCTCCTGCGCCCTCCGGCCTGCGCTGCTGCGAGAGCAGCTCTGGGAGGAAGAGGAGCCCAGGACTGACCCCAGGTGAGGTGATGGGTGCAGGAGGCCACTGTAGGTGGGAGTCTGGGGACAGAGGGAGATAGAGGGGCTAGAGACCAGGCCATGCTGGAGAGCTGGGGACAGGTGCAGAGGTGGTGCCCGAGATGTGGCCAGCAGCAGATCTGGAGAGCCTAGGAGAGCAAGATCAAGTTCCAGGAGAGTGGTGGGGGCAAAGGAGCCTCCAGGGGCCAGCGAGGGGGCGGCAGGGGGCACACAGGAGGGAGGAGGATGGAGGGGAGCGTCTCATTGTCTCACTACCACTTCCTCTCCTGGCTGAGCAAGACCTCCCAGCCTGGACAGAAGCCCTCAGGGCCCTTAACTTCTTGTCTGAGGCACCCTGGGGTCTGGGAGGGAATGGCTCTGGAAAGGGCTGGAGAGCCAGGCAGGGTAGGCTCTGCGGTTCTCTGGCCACACCTGGCAGCTCTTGCCCTTCCTGAGTCCGCTTTGGTCCTGGGTCACCTTTGCTCCTGTCCCCCAAGCCTGATACAGAGTCCCGCTAGCCTTTGGCTCTCATGCGTGCTCTTGGTCACTTGCCGCCTCCTTCCCTCCCTCTCCATCCCCTCTCCCTCACTGGCCTCCTCTCCCTGCCCTATGTCTGCCAGATGCCTCCGACCCCGGAGCAGCCTGTTGGGCATGTGGAGGGCCCCCCAGCGTCGGAAGCGGCCCCCTGGCCCCCGCTACCCTGCGGGCCCTGCGTCCCCATCATGCTGGGCCTGGCCTCGCTGGCCGCGTTCTTCGTGGTGACCACGGCCGTGCTGGCGGAGCGCCTGTTCCGCCGCGCGCTCCGCCCGGACCCCGGCCGCGGCGCGCCCACGCTGGTCTGGCGGCCCGGAGGGGAGCTGTGGATCGAGCCCATGGGCACCCCGCGGGAGCGCTCCGAGGACTGGTACAGCGCCGCCGTGCCCCTGCTGACCGACCGGGCCCTGGACCCTCCCACCCCCGGTGGCACTCTGGAGGCCCGAGCCACCGCCCCGCCAGCCCCCTCTGCCCCACACTCCGCTCCCAGCTCCCCGGGTCCCCAGACCCCTCCCAGCTCCCTGGGCCCCCAGACCCCTCCAGAGGTCCCAGCCCGAAGCACCTTCTGGGGGCCCCAGCCCTGGGAGGGGAGGCCCCCCGCCGTGGGCCTGGCAAGCTGGGCGGAGCCCGAGCAGAGGCCGGAGCAGAGGCTGGAGCCCAGCGTGCAGTTTGGGAGCCCTCCGCCCCGGAGGCTACGGCCTGGGAGCCCTGAGCCCGACTGGGGCCTCCAGCCTCGGGTCACCCTGGAGCAGATCTCAGCTTTCTGGAGGCGTGAAGGCCGCACCAGCGTGGGGTTCTGAATCCCCAGGCCCTGGAAGACTGGCCTCCCAGAGACTCCTGAGGAAGGGCCTGCCGCAGAGCGACTGTGAGACCCAGGGCTCCAGCATCTGGGCCTATGCTGAGGCTGCCCCAGGGAAGATGGCCCTCTTTTAAGTCTGGGTTTCGATTCCCCTGGGTGCCAGCTGAGCCGCGGGCAGGCTGAGTGTGCACAGAGCCCCACTGCAGGGCGCTCAGCGCTGCCTCTGCTCAGCTGCCGGCTGCGGCAGAGAACTGGAGGCTGGGCTGACTTTGGGCCAGAAGCCTCCAAGATCGCATCCGGATTAAGAACTGAAGGTACCAGACAAGCAGGAAACAGCATCAACCCAGCCACTTCCGCCTTCCTACAGTGTTTACCTAAGACGCCAAGGTCAGTCTTGCAAATGCCTTGGTGCAGTGATGGCAAGTGTCAGTCTGTGTTAGCAGGAGATGGCAGGACTTCAGCTTCCCAGAGCCACAGATCTTATCCCTCCTCAGCCACTCACTCGTCCACCCTCAGGTCCTCCAGGAAAATACACAAAGAGAAGACAACCAGGCAGAAGAGCGTTTTATTACAAAAGAACTGTGGTTTTGACACCCAAGTGGCAACCAGGAACTTGCTGAGCCAAGCTGGAGCAGCCCTCTCTTGCCTGGACTTGGGACCTAGGGTCAGAGAAGACCCATGGGCTCCTCTGCACATCCTCTTCTTAATGGGGTAAAAAATCCAAACTCTATAAAGTAATTTTAAAGAGATTTACTCTGACCCAAATTTGAGGACCATGACCCGGAGCCACACCCAAGAAGCCTTGAGCAAGTGGACCTGCTGTGGTTGGGTTACAGTTTGGTTTTATACATTTCAGGGAGACGGGTTACATGTAAAGTCATAAATCAATACATGGGAGGCATACATTGGTTTGGCCCAAAAAGGTGGGCCATCTCGAAGTGGGTTTGTCTTGCATAGCCCTCGGCCTGTTAATGGGTTCCAAATGGCGTCTCCAGGAAGGGAGGGGGCATGATGAGGCAGGCGTGTCTGACCTCCCTCTTCCTGGCAGGCAATTTAGTTTTAGGATATTCCTTTGGCCAAGAGGGGGTCCATTCAGTCAGCTGGTGGGGGGTGAGCCTTAAAATTTTATTTTAGTTCACACTCTATAGCTGCACACGTATCAGCCCTCCCAGTCTTACCACTCCATGGCTAGGAAAGCCGGGGCCAAGGAGACCTGAGTTTTTTCCAGTGTGGAAAGGAGCATTGTCCCAGAGCAAGGCAGCTCCCACAGTGCAGCCTCCAGCCATCTTCCCTCCCAGCTTGCTGGAGTGGTCCAGAGAGACAGATTTGTCACAAGACAGATTTACTTATAGGGCTGGGAGCTGGTGGCTCATGCCTATAATCCCAGCAGTCTGGGAGGCTGAGGTGGGAGGATTGCATGACGCCAAGAGTTCAAGACCAGCCTAGGCAACATAGTGAGACCCTGTCTCTACAAAAAATTTAAAAATTAGCTAGGTGTGGTGGCACATGCCTGTAGTCCTAACTACGTGGGAGGCTGAAGTGAGAGGATCCTTTGGGCCCAGGAGTCCAAGGTTATAGTGAGCTATGATTGTACCATTGCACTCCAGCCTGGGCAACAGAGAAAGACTTATTTAAAATGCTCCACCCTATAGAAATGGAGCCCCAAATGCCTTTAGCCCTGTTTCCAGTCTGTATCAGCTGACCTCCCCTTTAGGAGAGGAGCCAGGGGTGGGGAAAGCCAATGGAGTTTCCATTTCCTAGGGGTCTGATTGCCCAAATTTAAGCCATAAATATTAGGATTTTTGCTCTATCAGTTTACCACCTGTACTATAATTTACTTTAAATTTTTCTTTAGATTGGTTCACTATTCACTTAATAAACATATTTTAAAAGGAATGTTTGTAATACTTCTGTAAAGGGAAAACCAGAATCACTTGCCATAAATAGAAGGTAGAATATGAAAATAAATACAATGTAAACAAAACTGCTAAGTTTTAAGTATTGTTCCCTGCCAGAGGCATTGACTCAACACTCTGCTTTTTGTTAAAAGAAAAGGGGATGGATGGGTGGATGAGCAATTCAGAAAAGTGTTAGACATTCTAGCACCAAACTGAGACCTTCCCCTGGAAGTGCTGGGGAAGAGAGAACCCTGCACAAGGGCGGTGATCCTGTGTTGTTTACTGCTGGCCAGGAACCCCTCAAGTTCACCCACACACACACAGGGAAACCTCTGCTCTTCCTGCTTAGGAGGGCTGAGGAGCACTTGGAGCCTTCCGTCCAATCCCTTGGCTGCTAGAAGTTGAAGGAGCTGCCAGGAATGAGAAGCCCCCAGGCAGAGGGATCAAGAACCCAGCCTAGCCTCTCCCCACAGGTGTACTCATCCAGCCCAAGTCCTGAGCACCTTCTCTGAGCCGGGCGCTGGGTAGGGGACCTGGTCCTGCCCTCAAGGAGCTCACAGTCTCTCTAGTGGCAGGCACAGGGGCATGGAGGCAGGCATGAGATAAGACGTGGACACAAAACTGATAGCAGATAGAGATCAATACGCCCGGCCCACCTGTGTCACTCAGGAGCTGGGTAGTTATGTCACTTCTCATTGTCACCATCAGCTGCCAGGATGGGGTTGTGGGGACTCACAATGAGTGAGCAGTCCACCAGGGAAACAAGAGAGATGCAGGTGAATGCTTCCATGCCAAGTGCTCAGGAGAGGCAGTACAGTATGGAAGGGACACTAGGGGACAAGGCCTCTGGCTCTCCATCTGGCTCTGTCACCCACTCACTTGGAGACTTCAGAAAAGTGATTTTTGTGTTACTGGGCCTCATGTTCTTTTCTCTGTGCAACAAGAGAACTAAAATTTGAATAAGATGCTCTGTTGGGACTTTTTTCGCTTTTGACATTTGAGGACCCTATACGGTGAAAGACGGATGGATGGATGGATGGATGGATGGATGGATGGATGGATGGATGGATGGATGGATGGGTTTCCCTCCGCCCTCGGAAGGTTCACTGAAAAATCAACTTAAAGCAGATTAATAAGAGAAAATCTGCCGGGCGCGGTGGCTCACGCCTGTAATCCCAGCACTCTGGGAGGCTGAGGCGGGCGGATTGCTCGAGGTCAGGAGTTCGAAACCAGCCTGAGCAAGAGCGAGACCCCGTCTTATAAAAATAGAAAAAAATTAATTGGCCAACTAATATATATATAAAAAATTAGCCGGGCATGGTGGCGCATGCCTGTAGTCCCAGCTACTCGGGAGGCTGAGGCAGCAGGATTGCTTGAGCCCAGGAGTTTGAGGTTGCTGTGAGCTAGGCTGATGCCACGGCACTCACTCTAGCCTGGTCAACAAGCGAGACTCTGTCTCAAAAAAAAAAAAAAGAGAAAATCTTACTTATTTTAACATGCATGCTATTTATTTTAACATACTGTTTTATGAGCCCCATCAATGGGTGGATGGATGGATGGGAGAATGGGACGGATGTGTGGATGAGTGAATGGGTAGATAAATAAATTTGTGGATATATGGATGGATGCCTGTGAGCTTCCTGAGGCAGAGTTCAGCTTGCTATCCCAGAGTCATCTTTATATTTCTAGACCCAGACCATGGTTTAAAACATAGTAAGAACCCAATGAAAAGGAAACACATGAGCCAGTGGATGGATTAATAGATGCATTAGCTTTATACTTTCTTCTTTCTCCTTATTTTAAACCTTTCCCTCTCATTCTTAACACCACCTTATTCCTTTCTCATGCCTTCATCTATTATAGGCATTTAAAATATACTTGCTGTATGGTCTTTTGCCCAGTAATTCTATTTTCTGGAGTTCCAGGGTGGGAGCTAATCCTATTGTATATTGTGTCTGCTCACTTTCATTCATGACAGATTTTTTGCTCATATGTTTTGTAATTGTGGGCTGTGAACTCAGGTCCAAGGGCCTTGTCGGTGGGAATCCACATGACCAGGTTTGCAGGTGTCTCTCTCTAGAGAGCTTTTGTGTCTGCTTTGCCAAGAGTACTTGAGGAGTATTACCAACCCTGGGTCACGTTATTCGTTAATTTTATTTGGGCTCCATGGACCATGCGGAAGGTATAAATTGGAACCCCAAATCTAAGTGAGGGTAAGCCTTTGGTTATGAATTCTCAAGGGAGATCTTTTATTGTCACCAGATCTCAGGGTGAGACAGACAAGGTCCCTCTATGCTCCCTGGGCCGAGGGCAGATTTTTTTTTTAGTCCATTCTTTTACTGTAGCTGTCACCTTGTGAGGGTACAAGCTCTCTATTAGGGTCTCAGTTTTTAACTCTCCAGGCAAGGCCTCCTCTCTAATCTCCAGGTGGGTATAAGACCCGAGCCCCTTCGCTGCCAAGATCCACGCGACCAGCAGCTCACCCAGCTCTGGTGTTTGACTTCCTCTTCACGCCTCGCAGGGACCCCTTGCTTTCCTGTGGCCCAGCTGTGCTTGCAAAGGACGTTTGCTTGATGGGATGCAGCACTTGTAGGTGCCTCATTGTGGGGATGTGCTTGTCAGGTTAGTCCATCCACAATATCACAAAAACACCCAGGCTACTTCTTCATATAAACAAGTTCAAATCTCTCCCACCCAGCAATCCCCTGCCTTTTTGGCACCAGGGTCCAGTTTCATGGAAGACAATTTTTCCATGGAGCGGGCGGGGGACGGGAGGGGTTCCAGGATGATTCAAGCGAATTACATTTATTGTGCACTTTATTTATACTATTATTACATTGTAATATATAATGAAATAGGCTGGGCGCAGTGGCTCACCCCTGTAATCCTAGCACTCTGGGAGGCCAAGGATGGGCAGATCATTTGAACTTAGGAGTTCGAGACCAGCCTGAGATAGAGCAAGACCCTGTCTCTACTAAAAAATAGAAATTAATTGGCCAACTAAAATATAGAAAAAATATTAGCCAGGCATGGTGGCACATGCCTATAGTCCCAGCTACATGGGAGGCTGAGGCAAGAGGATCACTTGAGCCCAAGAGTTTGAGGTTGCTGTGAGTGAGGCTGATGCCACAGCACTCTAGCCTGGGCAACAGAGTAAGACTCTGTCTCAAAAAAAAAAAAAAAAAAAAGACTGTTGTCTCAGAGTGTTCCTTCCAAAGTTTTAAACTAGTTTTAATTTGGAAAGAGAACATTCTGTGATAGATAGTGATAAAAAATTCAAAAATCAGGCCGGGCGCGGTGGCTCACGCCTGTAATCCTAGCTCTTGGGAGGCCGAGGCGGGCGGATTGCTCAACGTCAGGGAGTTCGAAACCAGCCTGAGCAAGAGCGAGACCGCGTCTCTACTATAAATAGAAAGAATAATTGGCCAACTGATATATTATAAAAAAATTAGCCGGCATGGTGGCACGGCCTGTAGTCCAGCTACCCGGGAGCTGAGGCAGAAGGATCACTCGAGCCCAGGAGTTTGAGGTTGCTGTGAGCTAGGCTGACGCCACGGCACTCACTCTAGCCTGGGCAACAAAGCGAGACTCTGTCTCAAAAAAAAAAAAAAAAAAAAAAAAATTCAAAAATCAAAATAATAAAAGACTTATTTTATGGGAAAACTTGCATTCACATTGTAGAGTTTATATTAACTCTAACAGGACTTATAAGACCATTCGTTAGCTGGTTTCAGAGGTCAGACATTAGTACATATTTCCAGAAGATAGAAAATGGATGGGATCATATTGGCAGAGAAACCAGAGCCAAAGAACACTGGCCCAGAACCCAGCCAGGAGAAGGTGAGGCTCTG